GCTAGGAAATCTCTTCGCATGGAAATAAACTGGTAATACTGAATCTGAAAACTAGTCACAAATTATTAAGGAGGAGGAGGATGTATTTATACTAGTTGTGTGACCCATAAGGCCTTATATATTAAGCACTAATGAAATTAAGGTCTTAGCGAATTCCTAGACGATTCTCCAGACAAACTTAATTTATAAGGACGTTTGCGAGGACTATACAAACTTCCTGTAATATAGAGCTCATAATGATACAGTCCTTTCATTCAGCGAACATTCAACTAAGTCTAGAACTTGATATTGTGTTTATTCCAATAACTTAGTCTATATTTCTCAATCTTTCTAGCTGATCCATAATGATCATATTCGATATCCAAAACGAATATATCTTTGCATTGACGAGTGACTTTATGATCCATCTAGATATGAGAAGTAGAATGTTCTCTCTTAATCTATTATGACGAATGAATTCTTTCTTGGCTCAACTACTACTCCATGTGCTTCGTGATGCACCCAACACATGCCGTATCTACCCCGATTGGAGTGCAAGCGTTGGTCATGGTCAAAGTACATTACTCCGCACATGTAGTACGTATTGACCTCAAGTCGGAGGATTATTACACTACTCTATACGCCGATAATCCCATAGACACATGAATAGAACTTATCAAATGGTTTCTCGGTGGGTATGCCAATATTCTCTAAAATATCTATGTGACCATCATGAATTACAGGAACTCATAGTTGTGAGATCAACTATACTTTCTAAAAGTATGATGCAGTCCACATACCAATCTTATCGCATATAATCAATATCCCATTCTTGATGATCATTGATTGAGGCTATTTTAGGACCTTATGTTATATCATATAAGCTCCCACTTACTTATTGACAACATAAGTCCAAGGGAACACATTTATGAATAAGATATTGACAATCGAATTACTTAATCATTAATGTGTAATACTGTATATATCAAATATATAAAACTGAATGTGATCAAGTACATATATCTCTAAAAAGTGATAGTCGCTAGGACATAAATACTAACAAAATAAAATTCTATATGTAACAATTTCACCTACAATACATAAATTGTATTTGGATATTACAGCTCCATAGTGGGAAAACAACTCCCTGATTTGTTAACAAAATAAAATTCTATATGTAACAATTTCACCTACAAAGAATAGATATGCAAATCCCCTCCAAAAGTGTTCCTATCTCTCTTGGAGACATTTGTATGACAACAGCCTTATGTAAATGATAGAAGCACTATATATTAGGGAACAAATTTTATAGAAACTAAATATATATATCAATGAAAAATACTTATCATGGTTTTAGATGTGTATTATTAGATATCAACAAAACAATTCCCCTGGGGTTAGGTTTTTGTAGCAAATTCTTATTGTTTATGCATCTTAGGGAGGGGGGAGGGGGTATTTTATTCACATACAAGGGATGCAAGTGTAGAAAACTCATCTTTCTTTTCAATCCCAAATGCTTCAATAAATAGCAACTTATAAATGAAATAATCTAACTTCTAAGAAGTAATATAAAACTTTTAATGAAAAGTTCAAACAAAAAAAAAATCGGCGTCAATAGCAAACTACCTTAACTCCACCATTGCATTGTTTTTTCAAGATTTTCCATGAACAAGAATCAGTAACCTTCACGTTAAGTCATTTGCGTATGATACAAAAAATCAAAGCATGATATGCAGTGGAGCTGACTAGTGTATACTACAAGAGTATACACTTTGAAGTCATTAGCATCAATAAAAATTACAGAATTTACAAATGAGGGGTCACATTCAATACATTACACAAGAGGAATAAAGCAATAACTATTGAGTCCTGCTATTCATCAAACAATCCTATCGAGGAGCAACTGGATGTGTTTCTAATCCTTGAAACACGTAGAGCGTCCGATTCAATGTCTACTGAATCACAATTCTGCTCTTGTAGTCAATTGATAGCTTTTGTAATGGCAATAAGTTCAGTCTGTAAAGGAGATAAATATCCCATCCTTGGTAGCGTTGCACCCATGATGATTTCCCCGTGCTCATTTCTGAGAATCCATCAAAGACCACACATGTGATGCATAACAAAAGCATCCACTTTCATCTTTACTCGTCACAGTTTCGGCCGCCTCCAAGAAGTAGCCAGCTGCTTTGAATCTCAATGTTTACGTGCACCTTGTTGTACTTGAACCCAACTATTCACGAAAGCAACAACCTTCCGCATAAACAGCCCTGCACTCATGCTCAACTCATTCCAAACTCTTCTATTATGTTCGTACCACAATCCCCAGGCCAAGATGTTGGACTTTGCCCCTTTCTTCATGGTCAAACCATAAATCATAAAAGTGTCATTATCACTTATATGATACAATAATCCATTAGTGCACAATGAGCTCAACCTCTGAATAGCATTAGTACTAAAGCATCCTTAGTACCATTCAATTTGAAGGCTCTTGTTTTGAGTTCCTAAATCAATTGTTTGAATTTCTTATATCAATTCAAGTAAAGGACATAATAACTTTAAAATTAGTGATTGCAATTTAAGGTTTAAGGTTGCGTTCTCCGTCAACACACAACTTTTACTCAAATTACTATAACTATTAACTTAAAAGACATAACTTTTATTGAAAACTCATATGAGGTCTAAATTAAGTTTAATTAGGAGGTTAAATTTTAACATAAATATAAATTTAAGAGAATAAAAGTATAATCGAATAGATAATGATTCAATAAAAAATTAGTCAATCAGTTTTATTTGTATTCATAAAGTTATACTCTACTCTCAAATGAATCCCATTACCGTTTAAACATTTTAGCACATACGTAGTACTTAATAGGCATAACACTTGATAGTCCTAACATAAAACATAGCTTTGTTCTCTAAAAATAGTCCTAACATAGATCCGGTAGTATATTTTAGAACAACTAAAATTTGAAATAATTTGATTTTTTAAATGGGTGAACAAAAAAACAGATTATTGGTTTTACTGATTTCAAACAGTTCTTCCATGGAAAGTTATGCTAAATTCTATTCCTAAATGGAGTCCCCTTCAACAATAACCATTGAAACATTTTAACAAACACTTGGTAGACATAGACTAAATTCAATATTTTGACAAGTGAAAATATTGTTTATAGCAACCAAAATAAAAACCAGCCAACATGTGAAGCATTTTTATTAATGTACGGATCAGAATATTTAAAAGGAAGAAGGGATGATCATTTACGAGAAACCCGCCCTGCTACAAGCTATTGATGTTCTTTCGATGGAGGTAAGCTTCTAGTTCGTCACAGGGAGAAGTCGAGCAATGGAAGAGGTCACCAGGGAGAAGTCGAGCAATGGAAGAGGTCACCAGAAGTTCTTTTCTATAGGGAATCATATGGGAGGTGAAGGCTTAGGCTCACTAACAAGCTAACATCAATAACATCGCTAGGAACAATCAAGGAAGACGATTTCTGAAATATCCACTTATCGGAATGATGATCGCGAAAGGTCCATTCAACTTTGGGAAGAAGCAACTCGCCCATGTGATCATCCGTGAAAAGAATTGATATTGATCGGAAGAAGGTTGAATTGGAATTGAAGAGCAAATTAAGGAAGAGAGAGAACAAGGAGAACAAACTTACGAATAGGCCTGTCAATGGGTCGGGTCTAGACCCGGACCCGGTTGTTTTTAATGGGTATGGGTCTATATTTTATTCCGTTTACCCGGATCCGGACCCGTTAATATTTTAAATAAACGGGTCGGGTATGGTACATATGATTCCGACCCGTTAAGGACCCGGACCTGTTTAAAATTTCTTATTTGTATACACAGACACTAATACGTAAAGTGATTAGTTATAACACTTTAAATAAAATAGAAATTATTATTCATATATACATAATAATACATAAAGTTATTAGTTGTGAGTCTTCAATAAAAATATACACATTAATACATAACTACTATATAAGTCATACTGATCGAGATAGTAACGTACCATAAAACTAATGCCCATTTTGGTCGTAAATACATACTCATAAGGTGTGTATTGGGCTCGGTAGGAAAAACACAATATTTATTACTATTATTATTAATATTATTATATCATTATCATATATAATACTACATATGAGTTTATACTCTTAGTAGTCCAAGAGACCTTTTATGACTTAATTTCTAGTTTATTCTACGAGCTTTTTGTGCGAGAGAAAGTGACGTAAAGTGTGGAGCTATATGTTTGTACAAGAACCGATACTTTATTAGATAAAAGTACTAATTTTCTATGAGAGACTTTGATTTTGTTTGAAAAGTGACGATATATTTTGCTTTTAAATTTGTACACTTTGCTTTATATTTCACATACATGTCTTGTTATTTTTACAAAGTTTATAATGGTGTGCGAATCATATCATACTTGGCGGGCGGGTCTACTCGACCTGATTCCGAGACCCGTTGGGTCTGGGTCCGGGTCCAAATTTTCAGACCCGCCGGGTAAACGGGTCGGGTCCGGGTCCATTATTAACTTAGCAGGTCAGGGTCTGGAACACTATGTTCCGACCCAGACCCGACCCATTGACAGGTCTACTTACGGATGACTGAAAAAAGATTTTATTTGTTAATGAATTAAAGAGGCATAAGCTTTGTGTAATTAACGAAGCTGCCATTAATGAAGAATGGAAGTTTTTGTCTATCGCATGGTCCATAAGCCTTGATCGCACGGTTCAAAATAATTCTCATTTTTCAGTTTTTGATGCACTTCTCATGGGATCTTTTCTCTCTCTCTCTCTCTCTCTCTCTCTCTCTCTCTATATATATATATATATATATATATATATATATATAATAAGGATCAAATGAGAAGAGTGATTATCGTAAGAATTGAGAATGAATCTGGTGCGTTCAATTTAAGATTTAATGGTTGGAAAAGTGCAAAAAATATTAAAAAAGTGATTTAAGACGTGGTGTCATTTTCGTAATTAATAGTATATAATATGTTCACAATTAGCATTGCATTACCCCAATGAGCGTTTTTCCTGGATCCTCACTGCTCAATCTTAGTTCTTAAATTAGTTTTCTGAACTTTTATGTGAATACAAGAAATCAAATAAAGATCTTGAACGGTGTATAAATACACATATGTATACATATAAAGAGTACATACAAAGATAAACAACAAGGCAAGAAGGCATTCAATGAATTAAATAATGTATCAGCTAGCGATGATAAGGAAATGTTGATTGCACCCTGTTTTTTCTCTTGTGAAGGAATCTTTGCAGCGATTTCTTCATTGAAAGGCCATTATCAGTAGTAGGGGCTGGGGGCCTGCACAGTTGGTGTTGCATTGATGGTGAAGATGGCTCCGAAACTGTCGTTTTCCATCTTTCTTCACTGGCAATCATTATTATGGCTCTAGCCTGCATGCATTAATCATCACATTTATTCATTACTTGACCACTTTTCTATCATTTTTTTTGGATGAAATGTAAGTATATATTAACACCCAAAGAAATCACAAGTCAATGTTACAAGCAAAGTGCATATCCCTAAAGAAAAGGAATACCACAACATCAAGATAGAAATCATCAAAAGTCAACACTTTGAACCCAGAAGCACTTAGGAACAAATAAAAAACTCAACACAACTAGTTCACCAAGATATTAGGAATCCCTAATTTAACATCCAAAGAAAACATGGAAAGGATTAGTAAACTTTGCGCCAAAGCAAACCTCTCCTTTCTTCTTGGTATACCCCGGCATCTTCTCAATACAATGATCAGTGAAAGTTAGGCCCCTCTTATCCAAGTCATCCGTAAGACGAAGAAATTTGTCCACTCTAATGACACTAGCTTGGACGTGTCTAAATGGTTTGACAAGCAACTTGAAATTCTTACTATCTATGATCTCACACTTAATGACAACATCATCTTGTTTCAACTCACTTTCCTTAGTCACAAACCTCCCCATAGCTTCGCGGTCACAGGACCCGGTTGGGTCAGTAGGGAGCACGGTCGGGCGGGTATCAAGGGTCGGGGGAATTTTTTCCGTCGAAGAGCCAATTGTAGCAGTCTGCCCTTTAGACCCGGTCGGGTCAGGGCCACCCCCGGTCGGGTGAGAATCAGGTAGAGGCTCCTGTGCAACAGTTGGTTCAGAATTTTTAAGAGGCCCGGTCGGGCTGGGGGGAGACCCGGTCGAGAAGCCCCCAATCCTAAATCCTCCTTGGTTTCAACAATTGGGTCTTGCACACTATCTCCATCAACCCGTTTGGCAAGTTTTTTGCAAATAAAAGGGTGGTGCCCAAATTCTTTGCAATGAAAACAATAATTAGGAAAAGTTTCATCAAGCACACTTTGTTTGAATACCTTTTTTGAAGGTAGTCGTATAGGGAAAGAGAGTGGCGGTGGCTTTGAAACATCAACTTCGATTAGCACTCTAGCAAATTCATTATTCGTCCTCTCTTGAGTGACCTTGTCCGTAGTAATGGGGACTCCAACCATGGAAGCCACCTCACTCATAGCTTCATGAATCCTAACACTAGCAATGATGATATCTGCTCTTATGAGCTGTGCTGCACCGGAATTAGTCTTAGGAGGGCAAATTGTTATATTTGTAATCCTAATTCTAGTTATATTATACATGATGTTTTAATACTTAGATAGGAAGGTAAAGCAAGGTTAGAAAGTAATTCTATTTAATGGACTCTAGTTGATTTATTCAATTGGACCATTAAAATAGGTCTGGCCCGTTTCAGTCTTATCCTCTTTGGTTTGGGCCTGATTTTTTCCTTGGTGAGCTCGATTCTCCATATTTGAGCCAGCTCTTTCTCTCGCATATAAAGTCTCTCCTTCCTTCCTTCTGGAGATATCTTTTGCGTCATTTTTAGTAAACCCTAATACAGAGAAGCGATAGAGAGAGAGAGAGCTTGTGAAGTGTTAACCTCTGGTTTTCTTCTTCGTGATCTGGGATACACTTGAGTCCAGAATAAGCTGAGAAAGGCGAGGAGTAAACCGTGTGGTGAAGTGTAGATCCAGAGCAGTTGATTCGAGTCCAAGAATCTGATTAACTCCTGGGTTTTGATAGTTTCGTCCGGTTATTTCTGTTCCTTTTCTTATTTTATTCGTATGCTTGTTTTTGGCTGATTCTTGTGTGTTAGATCTGTTAATTTCGATCCTTGCTTTGCAACCATCTGTGTATTCAAACTATTCTGAGCTAGTGTATTCTTGGGATCGGGTTTCCCTTGTTGAAACCTCGCAGAGTAGGATTTATCCGAACTGCGTCAACATATCATGTGTTCTTTTCTTTAATTTCTGTTTTGGTTAAACTTGATAATTGAATCCGGTATTTTGATTGTGACTATCGATATAGTCTGTGAACAATTTTAGTATCAGAGCCTTTACATTAGATTCTTGAAACCCTAATCTGAATTTCTGATTTGTTTGAGTTTTCAGGAAACCCTAATTTTTGGTTTACTGTTTTTCGATCCTGAAACCCTAGTTCAAAACTGTTCGAATCTTGATTGTTTTTTCTTTCGGTTCTTGTCTGATTTCCTTCTGTTGCTGTTATTGGGTTGTATCTTGATCTTAACCTGCAAATATGTCTGACACTGGTATGAAGATTCGTATCTTTGATGGTATCAGTGACTTTCCCATGTGGCAACTTAAGATGAAAGCTCTCATGATGAAGCAGAAATGCTTTGGAGTTGTCTCTTCTGATACTGTTCCCAATGTGTCTAGTTCTGATCTAACTGAACTAAAAAATGCTGCATATTCTGAATTGATTATTCATCTGTCTGACAATGTGGCTAGAAAATTTTCCACAATCACTGACCCTAAAGTGTTATGGGATACCCTTGAGCCACTTATATGAAAAAATCTATGTCTAGAAAGATCTCTCTGCTCTGTAGGCTGTTTACCTTCAAAATGAATGTTTCTGTGTCTTTGTCTGAGAATTTGGATAATTTTCTGAAATTGACTCAAGAAATTGAAAAGGTAGATGAAAAGATAAAAGACACCCATCAAGCTGTTATTTTCTTAAAGTTTGATAACTTTAAGGATGTCATCCAGTATTCTAATGAGGATCTAACCCCTGGTAAGATCACTGATGTTATACTTGAGAAGAATGAATCTCTTAAAGTTTTTAAGTCTAAATCTGATCCCTCTAATACTGAGAAAACTGAGCCCAAAAATGAAGCTCTTGTAATTAAAGGGAAACCAAAGAATAAAAAGAACAGTTCTAAGAAGAAGAATAAAATTGATAAAGATAATTCTGAAAAGAAAACCTTCAAATGTCACTACTGTGGCATTGAAGGACATTTTGCAAGATACTGTAGGAAGAAGAAAAGGGATAAACAAGGTGATAACAAGAATAATCCTAACCCTACTCCTAACACAGAATCTGCAAATGTTTTTCAACATGAATTGCTTGTTTGTTCTGGATCTTCTTTGAATGATGAATGGATTTTAGACTCTGGGTGTACATTACATGCAACTCCTAACAAGGCCTACTTCTCCTCCCTGACTCTTTATGATGGGGGAAAGGTCATGTTAGGAGATAATATTGCCCTAGATATCAAAGGTGTGGGTAATGTTCCGCTGAGGATATTTGATGGGGTTGTAAGGGTTATCCAAAATGTTAGATGGGTTCCCTTCTTAAGAAGGAATCTTCTATCTGAATCTGTTTTTGATGATCTGGGTTGCACTATTAATACACAAGATGGATATAAGGTTGTTTCCAGAAATGGAAATGACCTTATTAAAGCTAATAAAAGTGGGGGACTTTACTTAGTTAATTGCTCCCTTGAACTTAACTTAGTTGCTTCTGTTGATAATAGCACAACTCAAAATCAAACTGAAATTTGGCATAACAGATTGGGTCATATTGGGAATGTGGGTTTGAATAAGCTGTTTAAAACTGGATTTTTAGACTTTAAACCTGAGAACCTTGTTTTTTGTGAAAACTGTGTTTTTGGTAAGAAAACTAGGTACCCTTTTGAACAATCATCTTATGTTGCTTCTGCTCCCTTAGAATTGGTTCATTCTGATTTATGGGGACCCTCTAAAGTGAGTACAACTGGAGGTAGGAAATAATTTCTATCTCTAGTTGATCACTTTTCCAGGAAGGTGTAGGTTTTCTTATTAAAAACTAAGGATGAAACCTTTGAGAATTTTAAAAACTGGAAAATATTGGTTGAGTCTCAATCCAATTTTAAACGGAAAGCTTTGAAAACTGATAATGGTCTTGAGTTCTGTAACAATGAATTCAATGTTTTTTGCAAAAATGAAGGGGTTAAAAGGTTACTTACTATCCCTGGTACTCCTCAGCAGAATGGCACTGCTGAAAGGATGAACAGAACCCTGCTTGAAAAGGCAAGGTGTATGCTCATCAGTTCAGGCCTTGGTAATTCCCTGTGGGGTGAAGCAGTGGTTACCGCTTCATACCTAATTAACAGATCCCCATCTTCTGTGATCAGTTTTAAAACTCCACAGGAAATGTGGTCTGGAGTTAAACCAAATATTTCTCATTTAAGGCCTTTTGGGTGTGCAGCCTATGCCCATGTTTCTCAAGGTAAATTACAACCTAGAGCCTTAAAATGTGTAATGTTAGGTTATCCTGAGGGAGTTGAAGGTTATAAGCTACTGGTTTTACAGTCGGGGGCTTATAAGTGTATTGTATCCAGAGATGTTACTTTCAATGAATGTGATTTTCCTTTAAAAAGAACTGATACAGTCTTGAGTAAGACTGCAGGTGTTTCTGATGGAAATTTCTTTGAATCTTTGGATGATGATGACTCTTTGTACAAAGAGGATCATAGTGGAATATTCCACAATGCAGCAAATGATTAATCAGAGTCTGAACAACAAGGTGACCTCAATGGAGGTGAACAGGTAGTAGTGAGCTCAGACTCACAAGGTAGTCTTTCTGGTTCTCATAATCCTTGTGTGCATGATCTGACTGACACTACTGTTTCAAATAATGTACCTGATAATAATGATGACACTGATAATCATAATGCACCTAATTTAGCTGATTATCAATTGGTTAGAGAAAGAGAACCTAGAACTATTATTCCTAATAAAAGATATTTCTCTAATCTTGCTGAATTTGTGCTGATTGCTGCTGAGGTAGTTAAACAGTTGGCCCCTGATAACTTTGAACAAGCCATGAAGTGCTCTAAGTCTAATGAGTGGATGAAAGCCATGCAGGAAGAACTTCATTCCATGTTCTTTAATAAGATTTGGATTTTAGTTCCTAAACCTAAAAATGCTAAAATAATTGATTGTAGGTGGATTTTTAGGTTATAAGATAGTCTTGACCCTACTGAACTTCCTAAGTTTAAAGCCAGGCTTGTAGCCAAAGGTTTTAGACAGAAGGAAGGAATTGATTATCAAGATATTTTTGAACCTGTTATAAAATTCAAAACTCTGAGATTAATGTTGGCTATAACCACTGTTTTTACTGGGAGTTGGAGCAAATGGATGTTAAAACTTCTTTTTTGCATGGAGACTTAAAAGAAACTATTTTTATGTCTCAACCTCCTGGCTTTATTAATAAAGAGTTTCCTGAACATGTTTGTCTTCTTAAAAAATCTATCTATGGACTTAAACAGTCTCCCAGACAATGGAATTTGAAGTTTGATTCCTGCATGAGTGAACTTGGTTTTTTAAGAAGTAAATATGATACTTGTCTGTATTATAAACATGTTGGAACTGAAAATGTTGTTAATATTCTGTTGTATGTTGATGATATTCTCTTAATTGGTCCTTGTAAAATGTTGATTGTTAGTGTTAAGGATGATCTGAAATTGCATTTTGACATGAAGGATATTGGCTCTGCTAAGAGAATTTTGGGTATTGACATTACTAGGGATAGATCCAATAGGAGCATGTTTTTGTCACAGGGTGATTATTTGACTAAAATCTTGGATAGGTTTAATATGAATGACTCTAAATTCACCCCCTTACCCTTAGGAGGGCATTTAGAACTTTCTAGAGATCCCTATCCTATGACTTTAGAAGAATCTGAGAAAATGGCTAAGATCCCCTATGATGTTGCTTCTTGTTCTCTCATGTATGCCATGCTTTGTACTAGGCCTGATCTTGCTTTTGCTGTTAGCATACTTAGCAGATATATGTCTGATCCTAGGACCAAACATTGGACTACTATGAAATATACTCTAAGATATTTGTCTGGTACTAAGAACCTTAGTCTGAAATACTCTAATTCTGATTTGTGTGATCTGAAAGGTTTTGTTGATTTTGATTATGCTGGATGTAAAGACTCAAGAAAGTTTACTACTTCTTGGTTCTTTACTTGGGCTGGTAACTGTATATCTTGGAAATCTCAATTGAAATCTGTAGTGGCTTTATCTACTACAGAGGCTGAGTATATTGCAGCCACTGAGGCTATCAAAGAGGCAAAATGGTTAAAAGGTATAGTGGGTGAGGTTTTGGGGACAAATATTGTTCCTATTGTCTTCTCTGATAGCCAAAGTGCCATATACTTGTGCAAAGACCCTATGTATCATGAAAAAACTAAACACGTAGATGTTAGATTTCATTACATTAGGGATAAGATTTCTAAAGGTAATATTAAAATTGATAAGATTATTGGATATGTTAATCCTGCTGATTTTGGTACTAAAATTGTTCCTACTGCTAAGTTTTTGTTTTGCAGGCAGTTCTTCAAAATCTTTGAAGTACCTTGATCTTGAGGGTACTTGGTTGGGTTGATGATGAAAGAGTGTTATCTGGTTTCATGAATCCTAAAACTAGCAATGATGATATCTGCTCTTATGAGTTGTGCTGCACCGGAATTAGTCTTAGGAGGGCAAATTGTTATATTTGTAATCCTAATTCTAGTTATATTATACATGATGTTTTAATACTTAGATAGGAAGGTAAAGCAAGGTTAGAAAGTAATTATATTTAATGGACTCTAATTGATTTATTGAATTGGACCATTAAAATAGGTCTAGCCCGTTTCAGTCTTATCCTCTTTGGTTTGGGCCTGATTTTTTCCTTGGTGAGCTCGGTTCTCCTTATTTGACCCAGCTCTTTCTCTCACATATAAAGGCTCTCCTTCCTTCCTTCTGGAGATATCTTTTGCGTCATTTTCACTAAACCCTAATACAGAGAGGCGATAGTGAGAGATAGAGCTTGCGAAGTGTTAACCTCTGGTTTTCTTCTTCGTGATCTAGGATACACTTGAGTCCAGAATGAGCTGAGAAAGGCGAGGAGTAAACCGTGTGGTGAAGCGTAGATCCAGAGCAGTTGATTCGAGTCCAAGAATCTGATAACTCCTGGGTTTTGATAGTTTCGTCCGGTTATTTCTGTTCCTTTTCTTATTTTATTCGTATGCTTGTTTTTGTCTGATTCTTGTGTGTTAGATCTGTTAATTTCGATCCTTGCTTTGCAACCATCTGTGTATTCAAACTATTCTGAGCTAGTGTATTCTTGGGACCGGGTTTCCCCTGTTGAAACCCCGCAGAGTAGGATTTATCCGAACTGCGTCAACATATCGTGTGTTCTTTTCTTTAATTTCTGTTTTGGTTAAACTTGATAATTGAATCCGGTATTTTGACTGTGACTATCGATATAGTCTGTGAACATATAATAATAGTCAAAATAGGTAAGTTTATGTTGAAGTTATGTTTCCGATGGAATTGAATAAAGCTAGAAAGAATTCCCTAAATAGGAGTAAAAAAGTTTTGAAATTCCAAAATAGGACTATCATGTTTTTTATTCCTTGAATATGAGTAAATTTCTGTCAAATTTGACATGACTAGGCTTTAAACATGTCTTTTTTTTCAAACTTGTTAGATTACTCATATTCAGGGAATAAAAAACATGATACTCCAAGTTTGGAATTTCAAAATGTTTTTCTCCGTAGAACAATTTCTAATAAAGCTACTATATAAGGCCACTTAAAATGAACAGGATCATTAATGACTTTGGCGTATAACAATTACTGGTATTTACTTGAAGCTAAACAGGATCATATCAAACTCTAATAATGAACGATTAAGGCATATATACATAGATACATACCTGAAGCTCTGTAACATCGCAAGCCACAACTTCATTGTCGTAGAATATTGTCATCTGCTGCCTTTCATTACCAATTCTTGATCTTATCCTATCCAAAGACCTTCAATAAACCAAACCAAACAAACAATCTAATTAAGCAAATAGCTAGAGCTTATATGAAGCTAAGATAGATCGGATATATGCAGTGAATTAATTAGAGAGAGAATAATCATACATGGGAATTTCTTCAACGACGTCGTTCTCATCTTGCTGAGAAGCGAAAGAATCAGAAGGGGGAAATAGCCTGAGTTCCAAATTGCAGTTTCTTCTCATTTTTTGGATGAATTGAAGATCTACAGATTGTTGAGAGAGATATATTTTTTTCTTTGACCTGAAGAGAGTGATTTGTTTTGAATATATAGAGAAAGGGAGTTAAGCACGTGGAGAATACATGATAGAGAAAATGGACCGGCGCCCGCTAAAGTCGCAACATTTTAAGAGCACGTGAATCATGTGGGTATTTTTTCCCTTCTGGTTTGCATTTTCTATGCCGCCGCCGCCGCAACCGCGGGAAAAAATGACGGCTGTTCTGCGTTTTCTACTTTACAGCTTACCCCATGTTATTGTTAATTCTATGGTGGACAAATATCGATTTTGATTCACTTTCGGCGTATCGGGGTTGGGAGATATTGTACTAAATTAAACTAATTTGCATTTTAATTTGGTTCGGTTCAATTTATCAAAGTGATAATTATTAGATTCAATTTAGTTCGATTTGATTCACTTTCATATATTTATTATTTTATTTGATGAAGTTTTATATTTTAAATTTACACAATGTAAATAGTAGTCCATTGCATCTTCATGTATTTATTATTTAAATAAAATGTAAAGAGAAATAAGATAGAAAATAGAAATAATGAAATTTTGTGTAGTACTCCCTCCGTCCCTAATAACTTTGCCAAGTTTGACCGACACGGAGATTAATAAAGTAAAAACTGTATGATTGAGGTTTGTGCAGAGGAGAGATAATTAACTGAAATCATAAATTATTTACTTAAAACAGAAAATGGCAAAGTTAATGGGACATCCAAAAAAAAAAGTTGACAAAGTTATAAGGAACGGATGGAATATAAATTAACACTTAATTTATCTTACTAACATTGACGACATGAAAACGTCTAGCATCTTTTCAATGACTAGAAAAAAGATTCATGACCTCACAAAAAATAAATTATTATTAATTAGCATTTATAATGTCACATAAAAAATATTCAAAGAAAACTAACTGAGTCGGTGGTAAAACTGTTATAAAATTCAAAATTTTATTCACATGAATTTTGTAAAATGTACTCCCTCCGTTCCTAAAAATTCTTCCCGGTTTGACTGGGCACGCTTATTAAGAAAGTGGAATAAAGTGGAAATGTATGGTTGTGGTTGTGTAAGAAAAAGGTAAAATGGATGTGAGCCACACAAATTGTCCAAAATAGGAAAGTGGGAAGTATTTTTGGGAACGGAGGGAGTATAATGTACTGTAGTTTAATTGAAATTAATATAAATGTGATTTGATGTTGTTATCGCTAAACATATTTTCGTAGATGAGTAGAGCAAAATATAACAAATATGTGTTATTAGCTAATTTTGTCATAATGAATTTATGAAATGTGTAAAAATCAAAATATATAGTATTATGATAAATATGTATTAATTGTATTTTTCATAGCTATATTATTTATTCATAACTTAAAGAATGAAGAGGGAAGACAAATACGGAGTAAAGATTATTTTTATAAATATTACAAGTTCGGTGTTCAATTCCATTTACATTTTTTTGGTTTAAAACGTCTAGTATCCAACCTTATACTCACCATTTTTGTGCAATTTTTTTTGTCCGTGAATCCCGTTCACAGACAAAATGTCTTATTGTGTGCAAATTTTGCACAAACAATATGTTATCTGTGAATTAGATTCACTGACAAAAAAAATTCACATGCATGATGGGTGTAAGGGTATAAGGATGGGTACAATAAGAATGATCCGAACTTTCTAGGCTTCGAATATGAATATCAGTGTCATTTCCTTGAAATAAATAAAGATGACATATTTATTATGCAGTATTTCCCTAATAAAACTTTGTTGTATTCAATATCAGAATTTAAAAGGTATATAAGTACAGTGGATTAATACTCCCTCCGGTCCCAAATGAAATTCACACTTTCCTTTTTGGGTAGGTCCAAAATAAACTTCACACTTCTTCTCCCTTCTTTATTTGGCAAATTATCTACATCAAAATAGTGCCAAACAATGTCACAACAGTGTACTCTACAGTAAAGTCAAATTTATTTCCGTAATTTGTATGAAGTTAAAGTGTGAATTTCATTTGGGACCGGAAAGAGTATGTGCTTATCCAAGGCTTGTAGCATTATGTTTGGTACATTTTAATCGAGAGAATTCCCTAAATAGGAGTAAAAAAGTTTTTAAATTCTAAAATAGGACTATCATGTTTTTTATTCCTTGAATATGATTAAATTTCTGCTAAGTTTGGCATTAATATGTTTTAAAACATGACATTTTTTTCAAACTTGACAGATTACTCTTATTCAGGAAATAATAATCATGATACTCCTATTTCAGAATTTCAACATATTGTCATGGCCTGCATATGTTTTAATTGCCGATAAGCAAAAAGTTGATTTACGTCTTCCGTTTGTTCATAACTTCATATGTTGAATTTTTTACTTTTAGCATATTAATCATTAGTTTTTTTTGCCTATTATTCTTGTTTCAAAGTTTATTGGGTCATTTTTTTTTTCTTTCGATGTAATTTATCACCTTAGTGTGACCAAATTGTTCTTATTAATATAAACCTTTTGTTGGTGACTATTTTCTAGTCATTTTGTTTGCATGTTCAATTGATACTGTTATATACTTTGGGTATATATTTGTTCTCAAGAATATATAATTTCTTTTATCCAATTGAATCCGTCTGTTTTGTGTAAACAGAATGGGAGACGAATCAAACACTACTTTTCCAAAATTATCCTCGCTCACTACTATCCCGGTCAATTCTTCTCATGGAGAAAAACCTAGCAAATTCAACGGCCATGATTTCAAACGTTGGCAACAAAAAATGTTGTTTTATTTAACAACATTGAATTTGGCTAAGTATCTCTCCGAAAACCAACCTCTTCTAGAGGAAGGCGAGACTGATAAGGAAAAAGTAGCCGCGGTGGATGCGTGGAAATATTCGGATTTCTTGTGTAGAAATTATATCCTAAACGGACTAGATGACTTCTTATACTCTGTGTATGCCGATATAAAGATGGCAAAAGAATTGTGGGAATCACTTGAGAAAAAATATAAGATCGAGGATGCCGGCAAAAAGAAATTTATCGTCGGACATTTCTTGGAATTCAAAATGGTTGACCACAAATCGGTTGTTTCTCAAGTTGAAGAATTCCAACTTATTCTTCATGAAATTCACGCTGAGAGTATGTCCCTTAGCGAGTCCTTCCAAGTGGTTGTGGTAATTGAAAAGTTACCTCCCAAATGGAAAGACTTCAAGAATTACTTGAAGCATAAGCGTAAAGAAATGTCCCGAGAGGATCTCATTATTGTCCGTTTAAGGATAGAGGAGGATAACCGCAAATCCGAGCATAAGGCTGGAAGATCTAATTCCATGGAAGCTAAAGCAAACATGGTGGAAGCGGGATCCAAGATGGGAAAGAAGAGAAATCACAATAACGAAGGAATAAGTGGAGGGAAGCCTTCGTCAAAGAAGTTCAAAGGGAAGTGCTATAATTGTGGCAAGCCCGGTCACCGTGCTAAGGACTCTCGTGCTCCTAAGAAAAAGAAGACCGGACAAGTCAATATTGTGGACGACCTCTCCAATGACATGGGTGAAATGAACCTATGTGTCATGATATCTCAATGCAATTTAGTGGGTAACACTAAAGAATGGTGCATTGATACTGGAGCCACCCGACATATTTGTGCTAACAAGTGGATGTTCACCGATTATCATCCTGTTGATAACGAGGAACAACTATTAATGGGTAACTCTTCTACATCTAAAGCGGAAGGTCACGGAAAAGTTGTCCTCGAAATGACAAGTGGGAAAACTCTAACCTTGAACGATGTGCTACATTTCCCTGATATACGCAAGAATCTGGTTTCGGGCTCCCTCCTTAGCAAGAATGGCTTTAAGCTAGTCTTTGTGGCTGATAAATTTGTACTTACTAAAAATGACCTGTTTGTAGGGAAGGGCTATCTCAATGGTGGTCTCTTCAAAATGAATGTACTTACCGTTGTACCCAAACTTGTTGATAATAATAAAGTGAGTTCTTCTTACTTGGTTGAGTCTTCTTCTGTTTGGCATGCTAGATTAGGAAATGTAAATTATGATACTTTGTGTAGACTAATGCATTTAGAGTTGCTTCCTAAATGTCATATTGATCCTAATTACAAATGTCAAATTTGTGTCGAAGCGAAAATGGCTAGAAAACCTTTTCACTCTATCACAAGAGAAACTGAACCGCTAGACCTCATATATACGGATCTATGTGATCTTAAGTATGAAGAAACTAGAGGTGGGAAAAGATATTTCATCACCTTCATCGATGATTGCACTAGATATTGCTATCTGTATTTGCAAAGAAGCAAAGATGAAGCGATTAATACGTTTAAGCATTATAAAGCCGAAGTTGAAAATCAACTTGGTAAGAAGATTAAGGCACTAAGGAGTGATAGAGGTGGTGAGTATGAATATCCATTTGAATCAATTTGTTTGGAAAGTGGAATTATTCATCAAGTAACCGTTCCTTATACGCCTCAATCAAATGGAGTAGCCGAAAGGAAGAATAGGACTTTAAAGGACATGGTTAATGCCATGTTAGTAAGTTCTCGTGCACCAAACAACTTGTGGGGGGATGCTATTTTAGCTGCCAACTACATTCTAAATAGAATGCCTCATAAGAAAACTCTCAAAATTTCATATGAGTTATGGAAAGGGCGCAAGCCAAGTTTTAGTTACTTGAAGGTATGGGGATATCTAGCTAAAGTAGCTATTCCCAAACCTAAGAGGACAAAACTTGGACAAAAGACCATTGATTGTGTCTTTGTTGGATATGCACAAAATAGTAGAGTATATCGTTTTCTTGTCCACAGATCCCATAACATGGATATAGTGGCCGATACTTTTATAGAATCTAGAGACGCTACATTCTTTGAGAATGTATTCCCTTTCAAAGGGGATTGTGAAGTTGTCTCCTCCGACATGGATGTTTTCATTCCAACCCATGGCGAAGAAAAAAACTCACATAAGAGGCCTTTTGATTCTATGAAAGATAACAACGAAATAGCGCAAGAATGTGAAGGGGGGCGCAACAAAAGGGCTAGAAAATCAAAAGATTTTGGACCCGATTTTGTTGTATAAGGAATCCATGTCCTCACCAGACGCTACACAATGGCAAGAGGCTATCAAGAGTGAAATTGATTCCATCATGTCTAATCACGTTTGGAAAGTTATAGATTTGCCTCCAGGGTCTAAACCTCTAGGATGCAAATGGATCTTCAAAAAGAAAAGAAGAACTGATGGAACAATTGAGAAGTACAAAGCTCGATTGGTTGCCAAAGGATACAACCAAAAGGGAGAATTTGACTACTTTGATGTCTACTCTCCAGTTAC